AAACTGGCTCCCATTTCCATGACCTCGTCTGTGACCTCGCCTGGGCTCACTCTTTTTACCTTCGACATCTACCTAATGTAGATGATAGATTTGTACTACAAACCTATAGGTAGATTTTTAAATTTGTTTCTCCTGTTTTTAACTGTATCAGTTCCTCCTCTGTATCAGTGTAAATTCCATTTACACTTTATGCCAGTTTCACCTCCTAATGATGTTGTAAATACCCACAAAGCAGGAATTAGGTTTCCTCATTTCCTGTAATTCCCCAAATACCCTTATTCTCATAGCAACGTCCTGGTAGGAAAGGGTCAACTCTTGACTGACGGGAAGTGTAACAAGGTTGAATCTAAGGACAGGAGTAAGTATCCAGGCACTTTGATATTAGTAAGCTGGGCAATAAGCTGTTTTATTTAACCTTCCTGCCAGCCCTACTATATAACTGGGGTTGTAGATATTGTTGTTAGCCCATTTTACGGATTAGGAAACTGAGGCACTGAGAAGTTAAGTAGGTTGCCCAAGGTCCGGGCTAGTAGGTAGAGTAGTTGGAATCTACACCCAGGTCGGTGGGACCTGCCACCCGGATCTGTGTACCTGTGTGGCTCCACCATGCCACAGGTGATGTGCAAATGCCCTCCGTGGAGAGCTTGTGACGACGGGCTTCCACATGAGATCAGGAATAAGTCTTCACACCCCGCAGTTGTGCCCAAGCTGCCTTTCCCCTACCCAGTGTAGGCGCGAAACACAAATCATTTAAAGCAAACATCAGAGCCCTACTTGGAGTGATTTGTATTTGTCTGCTCTTTGCTGTTAACTCGGCGTGTAACCTCATCTTGACCCAAATTAACTCTGATGAGTACAGAGCTGTGACCTCGGGCTCCATAGACGACCAGCCGTTGTTGTTCGCTCCACTTCACATTTCTCAGCTCAAAACAATGAAATCTGCCCCGTTGGCCAGCTTTGGTGCCTTGTCACGAAAACGGGACACTTATTCAATCCTTAACCCATGTTACTGAGCAACCGGTAGGATTAAGTAAGAAGATTTTAGTCCCTGTGTATCAGCCAATTCCTCAATATACTTATGTCAGCTAAAGAGCGTCATTTTTCCTAATTAATTACGGTGAATCCTCCCATTCATACATACAGTAATCTTACAATATAAAATATTCTCAGAAAGAAAGACCTCACTACCTGTAAAACATCAGTTACTGTAAACGATTACCTGGGGCACACTGTTCATCGTTAGCTGTCCACTAGTTTTGAATTTTTGGTGTAGGTAACATAACTCCAGTCAACGGTATCGGCAAACTCAAGATCCTTCTTCAATGTGGATTTCGATGCACTGACAATACCTTCCCAACTATCCCTGGTGAAGGATTATTTTTCTACCCCTCGATCCACTGCGGACAGATAGATGCTTTTGTAACTACTGTAAAAGCTTTGCGGCAATGTCAGATTGTGTGCTTTCGATTTTTGTCCTGACCTTGCTGCAAGCTGGTTACACACTCTGGGAAGCACTACCCGGACGACCTCTCGATGTCTCTTTTTTAAAATCATTTGTTACTTTTTAAATTATTTTTAAAATTTTATTTATGTATTTATTTTGGGAGAGACAGAGCATGAGTGGGGCTGGGGTAGAGAGAGAGGGCGAGAGAGAGAGAATCCCAAGCAGGCTCTGCGCTGTCAGCACAGAGCCCCACGCTGGGCTCGAACTCACGAAATCATGAGATCATAACCTGAGCTGAAACCAAGAGTCAGACACTTAACCGACTGAGCCACTCAGGCGCCCCTCTCTCTCTCTCTCTCTCTCTCTCTTTATATATATATATATATATTTTTTTTACAAATAGTTTATTGTCAAATTAGTTTCCACATAACACCCAGTGCTCATCCCCACAAGTGTCCTCCTCCATGCCCATCCCCCTCCCCCCCACATCCATCAGTCCTCAGTTTTTGTCAGCATTCAAGAGTCTCTCATGGTTTGCCTCTCTCCTTCTCCCCCACCTTTTCCCCCCTTCTTCTCCCCCTTGTTCCTCAGTTAAGTTCCTCCTAATCCTCCTATACGTGCAAACATATGGTATCTGTCCTTCTCTGCCTGACTTATTTCGCTCAGCATAACACCCTCAAGGTCCATCCATGTTGCTACACATGGCCAGATTTCATTCTTTCTCGTTGCCCCTCTATTTTTAAAAATGTTTATTTATTTATTTATGGGGGGAAGGGGAAGAGAGACAGGGAGACAGAGAATCCCAAGCGGACTCCACGCTGACAGCACAGAGTCCGACGTGGGGCTCTAACGAACCATGAGATCATGACCTGAACCCCAAATCAAGAGTCAGATGCTTGATCGACAAAGCCACCCAGGCGCCCCTCAATGTCTCTGTAGGTTATACACACGAGCCCTTGGCTGTTGTTTTCCGATTGTCTTCTAAGAGAGTGACAGAGGCCTCATTCATGTACACTTTTTTTCTCCTTCTCGATTTGGGTCTTCTAAGGGTCTAGGTTACGCGGGAGTCAAGACCGGGGCATCGACTGCTGGGAAGGTGTTCTTCATCTAAAATTTGCTTCAGGCTCTCAATTGTTTCTAAGGAGCAAGGATGAGATTTCATTTTCTTTCAGGAAAAACACTAGACTCAATATTATTCTGGTCGTATCCGAGGGAAGTCAGCCATCCTTTGCAAAGCTAATCAGAGCCCCCCTCAGATCCGCTAGCTCTCGGGGGCAGTTTGCTACTGCTGTTGCTGCATTATCAGAGGATACATTTTATAAAAGTGCTGGAATGTCTCTCCTTTGTCTTCAGAAGGATGAGCCCTTAGGTGTCTGTACCTCTCTGCATTCCTTGTGTTTTGTTAGTAGGAAGTGCTGCAGAAAGCAATAAGGTCAAAAGCAGATGCCTGAAAATGGTATCAGCTGACATAAAAATGTTGATATTCTTTAGTCTGATCATTATCATCTCTGGGGATTTGCTTTAGGAACATTTCTGGAAAGAAAAAAGAACTAAACAATGAAGATATTAATTGAATTTTCACTTGAAATAATAATAGTATTAATATTAATAAAAGAATTGGAAACAACTTAAAGATACCACTGGATGGAAATGATTAGATCAAGCAGAGTTGATATATACAATAGGAAGATGCATAACGATCATGGAAACTATGTAGGATGCAGGTGTTTCTGTACATGCTAAGTGAAAGCATATTGAGCATCACTCTTTGGTCAGATGTCCGTGTTGGCCCCTGGTCTGGCTGCTCTGGCCATCTCCTCAGTCTGCTCCGAATGACACGGGTGCCGACTCCCGCAGGTCCCCGTGTCAGGGAGCTTCCCGCTGAATTCTGTCACTGCAGGCACGCGGAGGCTGGAGCCTGAGAGGAAGGGAGGAGCGGGTGGGTGTCGCCTCGCCTTTGTCTCCGGCCCTGACAGCAGCATCTCCGCTGTGTGTGTCCCTGCCCACAGATGCAGCCACTGTGGCCCCAGCTATGCTGGGGGACAGGGCCACTCTGTTTGGTAATATCGCTTCCTGCCTTGCTTTTCCACCATAAGGATGGGAGCAATTGTCTCACTGTCTTCTGTTTGACTTTCAAGCTCTGCTATCATTTCTCTGTATTGTCTTCACTGTATTTTAAATATGTGAGTGTTTTCCTTCCTTCCTTCCTTCCTTCCTTCCTTCCTTCCTTCCTTCCTTCCTTCCTTCCTTCCTTCTTTCCTTCCTTCTTTCCTTCCTCCCCCACTCCCCCCTCCCTCCCTCCCCCCTCCCTCCCTCTCTCCCTTCCTTCTTTCCCTCTTTTGCTTGAATCTGAAAAATACACATGAGGTTTGGAGTCCTGCAGGGGTATTTGGAGGGGCTTCCTGGAGGATAGAACACGGTGAGGGACCATCGTTTTCGGCAATGAGCAAGCCAGGAAATCAGGATTTTGTGATGGGGAGGAGGGATGGAGTGAGAAGGCCGCTCTGAGCTCGAAACTGAGAAGGAAACGTATTTAATAATATATATCTGTTGTTCCTCATCTGGAACAAAGAATATGTGCAAGAATGTGGGAAAAACGAGAGTGTAGTTGGGATCTCACCGGAGAGGCCGGTAGACCCGTGTAGTTGTATAATATACACGTGCGGTGGCCACAGCCTGCACACTGGCAGTTCCCGGTGATTTTGTCCCCGCGTGCTTCCTTCCCGCTCCCCCTCCATTAACTAGGGCTGTGCTGCTTGGGAACTACTGTGGAAATGTCAATGTGTGACTTCTGATGTTAGGCATAGAAGACACGGTGGCTCCTATCCACCTTCCACCTCGCTCTCCCTCGCATCACCTGCTCTGGGCCCAAGCCGGCTGCCATGTCATAACGCCATTGTCATTATAGCAACCTTATAAGGAGATCCCTGTGGCAAGTAACTGAGGCCTCCTGCTAACAACCAAAACCAATTGGCCAGGGATGCGAGGGTGCCCCCTGGGAAGTGACTCCTCCAGCCCCACTCCAGCCTTCGGATGAGACGGCATGGCCAACAGCTCGGCTTCAACCCCGTGGAAAACACTGAGCTGGAACCATCCAGTTAAGTCGCTCCTGAATGCCTGAACCACAGACACAGTGAGAGATAATAAATGCTCATGGCTGCTGTAAGCCACTATGTTTTGGGGGTTATTTTTGGCAAGCAGCAACAGATAACGAATATGTTTTCCATATATTCATTCCATATAAGTAATGCATATCATTACTTAGTAGTTCAGATATTGAAACTCAAGGGTCACGTAACAGCATGCTTTATACTCTCCCCCATGTAGGTTGTGATGCCTTGAAAAAAAAATCTAGTTTTTACTGTATGATTTGAAGGCACCAGCATCATAGGGTAGTTCCTCTCTTATCCCCAAACTTAGTCCTCTAAAGCAAATCGTAGGAGTGCCAATAATCCAAGGCTAGTTCCTTAAATGAAAGGTCTATTTCAAACAACTTGGCATTTAAAGTGTTACTCTTTCTAGAGCCGAAGGTTAAACTAGTCTTTCGATTCTTCAGAGATTTTACTGATTCCCTCTGGCTACCGGACTCTTCAGTGTCAAACAGAGCCTCGTTAAGACTCCATTGCAGCGGGGCTGACCCCACATCAGGAAACAGACCCCCGCAGTCACACAAGCCACGCAGAGGTATGGGAAAGACCGCGCAGGGTAGCCAGGCAAGCACTTTCTCAGGCAGCGTCAATGCCCCTTTTTTGTTCTCTGTTTTTTTGATTAACTACTTGTGCATTTCCTCTGGATCCCAACAGCAGCTCCCTCTGCTCCTGTCTCCTGCTGTCCCCATCGGAAAATCCACAGCCACAACCTTTCCCAGCCTTTCATCTGCCTCTGGAGACTCAGGGAAGCCAATGGGAGCATTGATCATCTGACAACTGTGCTGTCCTTCAGGGCACAGAAGCGTGGTGGGCGTCATCGCCCACAGGAGCGTATGGGGAGGGAAGCCTTAGGTATTGTGCCTCGCGCCACAGGTTAGTGGCGGCCCCTCCCTCGGGAGGCTTGGCTTGGGATCGCTTCTGTTTTGCGGTACTATGTGTAACCTTGGCATGCAATCAGCAGGGAAAATATTCATTATTGCCTGACTGTCTGCCGAAGACAATTTCAATTATTCTGGCATTTCAATGGATGAAGAAGCCCTTTAGGCTGGCCCGGGAGATTAGACTTACAGGCTCTGTAAATTAGGAAAGTTACAATCAGTATATTATCTGGCAGGCAGCTGTGGGATACACCACAGCAGGCAAAGAGAGACAAATTGCTATATTCCGGTTGTGGTTTTGATATATCAATTTACAAGTTTAACATACACATTTGCGAAAGAATGATTTTGCATTTCCTAAATCACTTTTAACTGCCTGCACTCGAAGTTTCTGAACCTGTCCCTTGAATAGTCGGCTCGCATTGCTGACGTTTTGTTTTAAAGCCCAATTTCAGCTGGGAAAAAATATTGCTGAGGACAGAGCTTGGGAATTAATGTTTCCTAAAGTTATGCAAATAGTATAATATATGTCAGTTAATCAGAATATTCCATTTGCAGAAATGTGAATAACATCCCACAGAAAGGCTTTTTCTTTAATGGGATGTTTTTCCCGTCTCCCCCTCCGCCCCCAGATTCTCTCTGTTGCGATCATTGTATCGACATATTTAATATATAGTATTTCACCATGCCTGTCTGATGTGATAATCTGAAAATAAAAATACTGAGCCGAATAATCTATCAAAATACTTCAAAACGGTTGCATAAATGACATCTATTGGTAAAGAAGTTCTTCACGATTCTTCAAGTTCTTTCTGACCATTTTTGATATCTTAGCACTCACCTATCATTTGAACAATAGATTTACTTTTTACCTTTGTAAATTTTCCTTTAAAAAATACATCTAGATGCTGCTGAATGCTCACAGCTCTTCCTCAAGTAGAATTAACATTTCCTAGCTGAGTTTAAGCGATTTTCAGAAAAATTGTTTGGCTTCTGGTTAATATGAAAATTTTTTTTTCCGAGCCCGATGGTTACCTTGAAAACAGCGTTCATCTTTATATTTGCCCGAGTCCTTTATAAAGCAAGTCAAGAGACATAAAGAATTACTAAAATACAGATATTTATACGAGAGCTTTATAAACAGTGTGTGGCTCCGATGCCCCCAGATAACTCCCACTTTCTAATAGGCCTCTCTGAAATTCAAAACGAGCACAGAAAACTCCAGAGGAAGCTTCTTTGCTCTGGAAATATTTACGTTCACTGGGTAAAGCAGGAGGGCGGGTTTGGATACAACGTCATTCTCAGTTTATTTAAAAAGAGTTTTAGAATTTTAATGTGAGAAAGTTATACTGGCTATTAGTGTGAAGTTATACTGGGTGTTAGTGTGAAGTTATACTGGGTGTTAGTGACTAGCATGTGACCATGGCCCTTGCTGGAGGGGTTGAATTCAACATGCCTTCCACCGGATGCTCCTCTCTACACCTTGTCAGAAAGGGGTTTATCAATCAATAACATGGAATTCATTTTTCGCCCGCCCTGTTTACAGGATGAAATTACCCACGAGGGACAGCGCTGTCTGGTACAATACCCAGAAAGTGCCCTTGATCACAAACACTGCCGTTTGACTGTGGTCTTACTCAGTACATTGTGCTGATGTATTTTCTCATGGGAACTGTTGGGCTAGCCCAGGCAAGCATCTGCGATTCTTAAACGGACAGTTTCGGGCTGGAGAATTTAAGAGACAACCGAATAGAGTTTTAATGCCCTGTTAGATAATAATGAAAGACATTTCGGGGGAAAAAAAAATTGCAGTTAGTTTGAAAGCCAGGGCCCACACTCCGTATTTTGACAGCAGATGGATGGCTATCCCGACTAATCCCAGTTTACTTTCTGACTTGGATTTGTATCACTGGTGCAGTGAGATGGTGAGGGCTTCCTCCAATCTGGTTAATGCTCAGAACCCATGTTTGAGTTTTAGACTAATTATGGGCCAATAACTGACATTTTTTCTATAATGTGAAGACTAGTGGCAGGAGTAACTCAGTGAGATTTAACATAAAAGCAAGATAAAACAATTAAAGTGGAAGAATATTTGATTAAGTGGATCGCTGATTTATAGTGGGGTAAATTGAAATTGAAAGGAGAGTGAACTTTTTATGGTAATCATATCTTACGTTCATTATCAGAGACTCTGCGTCTTTTGTGCTTTTGCGATTTAAAAAGAAATAAACCCGTTTCAGGAGGAGTTATCCTGGATGGCATCATTTTTTTTTTTGTCTTCTCCTGAGTTATGGTTTCTTTTCGTGGCAAAAGTCGAATAAATCATATTCGAGTAAACTCATTGCCAAATGTGCAGTCGACATTTGAATAGACCAAAAAAAAGTGTAGTAACAAGGTCACACATGGCAAAACACACACAAACACTTTTGTTTTGGTGACAGCACTTGACATATACTTCCATTGGCATTTATTTGGTATTTGCAAAAATTGTAGCCATGGCAACGTCCCTTAACATCCCTGGTGTGGGGAAGAGCAGAATGCCCCGAGATCTGCTATCAGCCCCGGGACGTTGTGAAAGAGCTACGTGCTGCATGCCGCTTCTTGTTCAGTGGCTGGCTCTGCATCGCTTGGAATTAACTTGTTTCTGAGGCTTGCTTAGCAGGTGCCTGCCGCGTGCTCCCCACATTCCGCTTCACCATAGCCGGCCCTGCCTTTATGTGACCCAAGTCACTTTCGCAGCGGCGGGGTGGTGTGGGTGCTGGCTCAGAAAAAGGAACATTATAGTAGCCAGCAAATGGAGAGGAAGCAGGTCGGCATAGGCGAGGCCATGGACGAGCAGAGGGTGCTGACTGGGGAAATTCAGAGAGCTTTTTATTTTGATTTTTATCTATTTATTTATTTAGTTTTTTACTTTTTAAAAAGCTCACTTATTTATTCAGAGAGAGGAGGGGGAGGGGCAGAGAGAGAGGGAGGCAGAGGATCTGATGCAGGCTCTGCGCTGTCAGCACAGAGCCTAGCGTGGGGCTCGAACTCATGAATTGTGAGATCGTGACCTGAGCTGAAGTAGGATGCTTAACCACTGAGCCACCCAGATGACCCTCGAAGAGCTTTTTCTTTTTTATTTCCTTAAACTTTTTAAATGTTTCCTTATTTTTGAGAGAGAGGGAGAGAGCACGAGCGGGGGAGGGGCAGAGACGGAGACACAGAAACTGAAGCAGATTCCAGTGCCTGAGCTGTCAGCACAGAGCCCGACGCAGGGACGCAGGGCTTGAACTCATGAACTGTGAGATCATGACCTGAGCTGAAGTTGGAGGCTTGACCGACTGAGCCACCCAGGCGTCCAAAGAGCATTTTATTTATTTTTATTTATTTTTTTAAAACATTTTTATTTATTTCTAGGAGAGAGAGAGAGAGAGAGAGAGAGCGTGAGCAGGGGAGGGTCAGAGAGAGAGGGAGTCACAGACTCTGAAACAGGCTCCAGGCTCTGAGCTGGCAGTCAGCACAGAGCCCGACGCGGGGCTCGAACCCACGAACCGCGAGATCATGACCTAAGCGGAAGCCGGACGCTTAACCGACTAAGCCACCCAGGCGCCCCCCAAAGAGCATTTTAAAGAGTAGAAAAGAGCCAATAGTTCACTGTGTCGCAACTAGAGTCGTGATTCTTGGATGATACATTTGAATTGCATTCGTTCCTTTTTACCCAAATGTTACTTTATTGCTATTTTTAAATTGTTTGTATCAGAAGAAGCAGCGCTGCAACAACTAAAGGCTCCAAGAAGGAACTCTCCCCTGAGTTCTGGCCCTGACCCTCCGCCCCTCCAGCTGCCTGTGTGTGAAAGGCGGGGGTGTTCCGGGGGATGGCTGAGGCTCTGACAGATCGGGACTCTCTGACTGTCATTGAGAGCGGGAGAAAGGACGTCCATCCTGCCGGCTACCACTGGATTTTACACATCCCCCCAAGAAAATGAGATGGGATGGGTAGTTAGGCTGAACTAGGGAAGAAACTGTTGGCTTTTCAGAGGCAGCAGTTGTTAAAATTCCTGTAACCAAGGCATAAACAGATACACAATGGACATCTTGGTTTTGTTGTTGTTGTCAAAGGAGAGAGCAGCGAAACCAACTCCAATTTTGTCAGCGTACTTGCCGTTGCCAAGCGTCCTCACCATGGAGTTAAGGGACACCCAGTGCCATCTGTTCACCCTTTCAGAGATGTGCTTTTGTACGGCTGCTCCGTGACATTTCCTCCCCTTGGTACCTTCGCTCAGGACATCTGCTTTCAAGTCATTCGAAACCAGAGCGCCGAATCAGACGTGAGAAATTAAAGAGAGTGAGACAGAAGTGGGGGGCCCTGGCGGGGTGGACGGTGGTGGGAAAAGAAGGTTGCCATAGACTGGCATCACTGATCTACATCACTGATAATTCCATAATTTGCTCACAGAACTGCTTTTTCTGAAACAATTTTGCTTCGGCGCTGTTGGACCATGAGTATTTTTTAAGCTTGTGAGATCAAATCCTTAATCACAGACCTTCACAGTGCTGACGGTCTTAGGAAGAAATATCGAGTGGATTTGTTAGCAGGTGCCTGCTTAATTAATTTATTAAATTCATCCATCCTGGTCACCCATGTATGTAGTCTCACTATTTGCATTGCCCTTTGCCGTTCACAGGGGTCTTGGCAGAGGTGACCATCCTGATGGCCTGCGAGGACCTTTGGGCTGATTGTTTCACCTCTCTCAGCATATAAATCTGGGCAGCAGGATTTTATGAAGCTACAGTGAGGACAAACTGAGGTGATAAGTGAGAGGGATCTTTCTAAATTGTAGTTTGTAATATACAGATGTTACAGAGGAATTTTTCAGATGGGCAGATTCTCAAAAATGTTATTCCACTCCCCCCAACAGTGTTCCTGGAGGAGGTGCTCACCAAACAAAGTGAAGACACTATGAAAGAGAAAGGCCTGGGAACTAGGAAAGAGGGAACAACCCAAGAGAGAAGGGAAGGAAACACCCAGGAGAGTTGCCAGGATGTCAGCTGTGAAACAGTCAGAATAGTCCTCAGATTGGATCAGGAAGACTGTGTGTCCTGTGTCCCAGGAGGGATGTCTCCCAGAAAATGAAATTCATACTAATTTGAAGATTATGAGAGACATTTTTGGGGTTCTCTGGGACAGTTCAAGTTTAGAGTAGTGTTAGGTTCATGGAAAATGAAGCAATTATTGAAACACAAGGCAACCATTAACTCTAGGAAAAAGGAAAACTTGAATAAGAAAAAAATGCAATCGTAGTGCATTATATGGTTGAGCTTTGAAAATTTCACCTCAGAATGAGGCAAACACTAAATTCTGATTTAACCAAAATTATAATGTGACTTCCTTGGAAGGATGAGGGAGGGGAAACAGGGTGGATTTGGGAGGAAAAGTCTTTTCAGAGTAGGATGTCAAAACAGGTGATGACTGAAAATGAAAAATCTCGAGATGACAATGTTTTATGAAATGAAGGTGAATACTAGAACTAACTGCAAAAGAATTGCAAAATTTTAAGTGTTTGGCTCCAGGAAATGGAACGTAACCATGAAAGGATTGGGGCACAGGATGATGTTTCTTTTTCTAGGGTTTGTAGTTTTATTTAACTTTTGAAACACTGTGCATATACTACTTTGATAAAGTATTATAAATTTTAAAAAGCTATTGGGTGGAAGTATAACACACTAAGGAAATGATAGGTTCAATTTTGGCAACTGTGAATTTATGGGAGAGTGGCCCAAGGATGTGTTGTAATGGCTATGAGAAGCCAGAGGCTCGAGGACTGCTGTTCTCAATTTTAGTAGTTGAGGTTCATCTCTTGGAAAATGCCTGTGAGCATAGTCTTCATAAAGGAATTTTGGACCAGAGAATCCATCCAACTCTCCCCTTTTCTGACCTAATAATTTTGCACAAGTAAAACCGGGGTACATGGAATATTCTTTAAAGTTAGACTGCAGCAGGTTGAGCTTCCGCTGTCATGCACAGGCGGAGCACAATGTGTGGTACATAGTAAGTGCACAATAAAAATAAATAGAATGAATAGATCAGTCAAGGGCTCACGAAAGCAGCGGAGAAGTCACAATAGCCTCCTAAAATGAATTTATTACACCATTTCTTCCTTCTGCCCTCTCTTTCTTGTCCTTGTCTATAATGGGAGACAGAAGAATCTTTTCAAATCTAGCTCTGACCAGGCTACACCCGTGCTTGAAACTCAATGGTTTTCCATTACTTTTATGTAAAGGCCAAACTGATGGGACCATCAGGGCCTATGCGGTCTGCACCTGCCTAACCTCATCTCCTATTACCTCCTCCCTTACCACTTTCCCTCACTCTCACCATTTAACCCCTCCTCATCCTTCAGGTGAGCATCAAATCCTCAGGGGAACTCTCCTCAACCTTCCTCAGTCAAAGCCTTTTTTCTAAGTTTCCATAGCAACATCTTCCTCTGCTCTGTTCTGTTACAATTGCAGTGAGGTAGGTACTTGTCTGATAATTTGGTTAATAATGGTCTCATCTAATGGGATACCAGCACTTGGAGGGCAAGAACCGTATCTGAAGAAGGGTCTCCATCCCCAAGCCCACCCAGGACCTGACCTCAGGTACCTGCTTGGTTACAAAAGTGAGTGAAGAAAAGGACAGCGTGCATCCTTAGAGATGGGATCAGAGCTGGGGGCTGTCTTCGGTTGCCGATAAGGATGGCCATGGTGGTTTGTGGGCTCATTATGTGTGCAGAATAATTAGATATTTTTAGAAGCTGGTAAGTGGCTGTTTTCCCTCTCTGCCTCTGTGAGTCACTCTCCACTAGAAGCATCTCGGAGTGTGTGCACGCGCGCGCACACACACACACACACACACACATACACACACACCCATATACCTTCTGAAATTCCAGGTGATGATTCAGCAGCCCACCATTTCAAGCGTCCCTGTCAAAATTCATTTTCTGTGAATAATGATGAGCAGAAATTTGCCAGGGTAGGAGTTGGTGGGAGTTTGAGGGTTGGTGGGGAGGAAGAGGCGAGGTGTCTGAGAGACCCAGCAACACTTTCAAAGCCTCTTAAGTGTTGGAATATTTAGATGCATGTTTCAAGTTCTTGAGGTAATTAGCTGTAAACTGACACAGGTGGCCAGTGTTGAAAGTTTGAAAGTTTGGGTGCTGGACTTTTGAATTCCTACCTGCTCCTTAAAAGCTACATGCTGGTTTTGAAATGCGGCTATCGTGG